GCAAAAATGAACTATCAGGACCTCGTTAAGATAAAAAGCTTCTGCACAGCAAAGGAACCAATCAATAAAACTAATAGGCAACCGACAGAATGGGTAAAGATAGTTGCAAATGACATATCAGAAAAAGGGCTAGTATCCAAAATCTATAAGGAGCTCACCAAACTCCACACCCGAAAATCAAATAATCCAGTGAAGAAATGGGTAGATGACATGAACAGACACTTCTCCAAAGAGGACATCCAGATGGCCAATAGGCACATGAAACAATGCTCAGCATCCCTCCTCATCAGGGAAATACAAATCAAAACCACACTGAGATACCATCTCATGCCAGTCAGAGTGGCTAAAATGAACAAATCAGGAGACTATAGATGCTGGTGAGGATGTGGAGAAACGGGCACCCTCCTGCACTGTTGGTGGGAATGTAAGCTGGTGCGACCCCTCTGGGAAGCAGTATGGAGGTTCCTCAAAAAATTAACAGTAGAACCCCCCTATGACCCAGCAATAGCACTGCTAGGAATTTACCCAAGGGATACAGAAATGCTGATGCATAGGAGCACATGTACCCCAATGTTCATAGCAGCACTCTCCACAATAGCCAAAACATGGAAAGAGCCTAAGTGTCCATCAACTGATGAATGGATCAAGAAGATGTGGTATATTTACACAATGGAATACTACATGGCAATGAGAAAGAATGAAATCTGGCCATGTGTAGCAACATGGATGGAACTAGAGGGTGTCATGCTGAGAGAAATAAGTCAGGCAGAGAAGGAGAGATACCATATGTTTGCATGCATAGGAGGATTAGGAGGAAGTTAGTGGAGGATGATGCGGGAGAAGAAGGGGAAAAATAGTTGGGGAGAGGGAGGGAGGCAAACCATGAAAGACTCTTGAATGCTGAGAACAAACTGAGGGCTGATGGGAGTGGGGGAGAGGGGAAGTGGGGAGATGGGCATGGAGGAGGGCACTTGTTGGGATGAGCACTGGGTGTTATATGGAAACCAACTTGCCAATAAACTATTTAAGAAAAAAACACCAACAACAAAATAAAAATAAAAATACATGGGTATTTTTAAAATACGTGGATTTTATTATAAAAATAATGACCTGTTGCAAAGGGGTGTGTGTGTGTGTATGTGTGTGTGTGTGTGTGCGTGTGTGTGTGATGTTTGTCCTCTGGTTTCTGTATCCTCTTGGCAGACTGACTCATTTCTCACTGGAAAAACAAGATTTCAGGCATTCAAAGCCCGGTTTAATTGTACCTAAAAATATATTACTTTAAGTTTCTGTCACTAATTAATACAACTCTGTTATCAGATTAACCTAGGGAGAGTAGGAAGGACATTGGAGTTAGGAAGTAGATAGGCAAGAGGAAGAAAAGTTGAAAAATTCTGTGGAATTGCCAGAGTATTTGAGTCTTGTCTTGGGCCTGAACATCACAGTGATAGGCATTGTGACAGGAATAATAATTCTCCCTGACTGTGGCCCCCACTTAGCCCCAAACTATGAGCAACGGTGATCAGAACATGGATCTGAGACTTGACAATTACAAAAAGAATCTTGATTTTTTTCAATGTATTATATTTTTCAGTCATTTACATTTTTGGGGCAATTTTGAGGCTATGACATATGCAAAGTTAAAACTTTCATTGGCCTTGCTCATATGTACTGTAATTCACCGAGCCTGACAGAGAAATCTGTAACTATGGCTGAGACTTACAAACAAGCAAGCGAGCAAGCAAACAAACACCACCTCTTTTTTACTGTCCTTGTCAGTGAAAATGGTTGATGATGAGGATCCTGAATTCAGTTCTGTGCCTATGTACGATAAAAGAATTCTACAATTTGCCAATTGCAAGATAGAGGAGAAAATTTATTTTGAAAGCCACCCTAAAACGCTGGATGATTTTCATGGCCTTTGTGATTTTGATGAAAGCTAAAATGAAGTCCAAGTTTTCCATGAACAACAGTACAAACTGTAATGTACTTTATCCACATTTAAGCCTCTCTGCTTGACCTCCCACAGTATTTCCTCTTCTGGATCCTGTAGATTGTTGGAGCCAGAAGAGAGCTTGCAGATCATCTGCTGTCATCCAGGTTTATAAATGGGAAAATGATGTCTAGACTGATGACCTGCCCGAGGGTTCTCAGCTGGTCAGAGGCAGATGTTAGGCTGCAAGCTGGATCTCTAGACTTCCAGGCCAGATCTCTTCCTACCACACCCTGCTTTGGTGGGACTGATGGAAAGCAAGTTGTTTTTGTGGAACCCACATACCTCTTGGCTTAAGGTATCTTTAGAGGTTAGGCATAACTGGAGTCTTCACCCACAAGGCCAGGAACCACAGATGTATTATTTGGCTACCAGAGGATACCAGAGAATTGCTATATTGAAAAGTCTTCGACATGGACAGCTGATTGGCAGGGGCAGGAGGTCAGGGAACTGGTCACAAAGTTCTATTTGTGTCGCAAGTAGACGTTTTGCATATAGATCATATTTTTATTTTGGAAGCACAGAGGTGCTGATGGAAGTTATAGCAGGCAACTGGTCCCCTCAAGCTCTTCTTGGCAGCATCAGTAGAACTCACATGCATAGTCACTGTTGTCACCCCTGGGAAGAGATGGGGAATCATTCAATAAATTACTTTTTTAAAAAAATATTTTTATTTATTTCTAGGAGAGAGAGAGAGAGAGCGTGAGCAGGGGAGGGTCAGAGAGAGAGGGAGTCACAGACTGACACAGGCTCCAGGCTCTGAGCTGGCAGTCAGCACAGAGCCCGACGCGGGGCCCGAACCCACGAACCGCGAGATCATGACCTAAGCAAAAGTCGGACGCTTAACCGACTAAGCCACCCAGGCGCCCCAATAAATTACTTTTTAAATATCAAAATTTATCCCCGATCTTTATACAATAGCACCCACACTTAACCATCACTGGGCTGTAGATTATAGTAGTTAAAATTTATACTTTAGAGCGCAACAAACTTGGGTGCAGACCTCAGCCATGCATCTTATTACTGTTGCACCAGGGCTACTACACAAGCTCAATGCATGTTATTGGTGGAAAAGATAAAAGTGACAAAGAGCCACTGTGGATTCAGTTGACTCACATTTGTATTTTAAAAGTACAACAGAGATCAGGGAGGGCAAGATGGTAGAGAAGTAGGGAGCTCCATAAAAATTACAACAGAATCTACAAATAACTGCAAAATATATACAGTCAGAATTACTTATTCAGACCACAGACAATGCTTTGAATTGAGTGATTTGAACATGTTGTAATTACTGTGTAGGGTCATTGATGCACAGTGCTAGCACCTTGGACATAGTGGAAGAGCATGGATTTTGGAATCTTACAGATCTGGACTCAAATCCCAGCTTTGTCATGTCCTGTTGTGTCATCTCTGACAAGCTGCTTAACTTCTCTGAGTCTCGGCTTCCTCATCTCTAAAATAAGGGATAATGCCTATCTTACAGAACTGTTGGAATATTGGATGACATAATGCACATAGAAACCTGATGTATGATGAGTGTCAAATAAATGTTTATTTGTATTCTCACAATTTGAGCAAAGCTTAATAACCCACATTAGTTTGAAAACATTTATTTAAATTACAGAAGGCCTGGGCATTAAGACCTTCATGCCTAGAAGGACTTATAACCCCACTATATGAAAATCAGGAGAAGAGTAAAATATGCTTCACATTTAACAGTACAGCACGTTCAGTGTTTTATTTTTAAATAAAAAATACTCATGCAGGCCTTGAGTACAATGTCAGTGTGATGTTGCCACTGTTAATGGTGATGGTTCATGTGTTCCTCAGGGCCATACTGGAGAAGCTGGACCCATGCAAAACCCCTTATTAAAGAGTGGCCCTGACTACAGCATCAGTGGTTGTGGTAGAGCTGTTTCCCATACCCTACCACAAGTGATTTTCATGAGAGTCAGGGCAGGAATCATCACTGATTCAGAACATCCCTGCCCTTTTGTTTTTGTTTTTGTTTTTTTGGAAGAGAAGACTGGAAGCCACTTAAAATGAAATCTATTCTACAGACAGGAAGGTAGTCAGGGCAGAAGTGAATGCAAGGAGATAGTGCAGAGATCAGCTTCATGGGGGCATGATCTCCTAGAAGTTGTGGTTTATTCATTGCCAGGGAGCCTGGCAAGTTGGTTGACTTAGGCCCTTCATCTTTCCCATATCCTGCTCAGGCTCTCTCACACCTGTCTTCAGCTGGTGGATTTATGGAAGGATTGTACATAGTCTGAGAAACTTCTCCCACATGTGGAAGGGACCCATATGAGATGTCCTCCCGTTTGGAAATAGTGCTTTGTCTATTTCAAGAATGTCTCTTCCATTTCCTTTTTTTTTTTTTTTTAATTTCTAGGAGAGATAGAAAGAGAGTGTGAGCAGGGGAGGGTCAGAGGGAGAGGGAGTCACAGACTGAAACAGGCTCCAGGCTCTGAGCTGGCAGTCAGCACAGAGCCCGACGCGGGGCTCGAACCCACGAACCGCGAGATCATGACCTAAGCAAAAGTCGGACGCTTAACCGACTAAGCCACCCAGGCGCCCCTCTTCCATTTCCTGTTCCCAGTGCTGCACAATGTGCTTTATCTCTTCCTTTGGACATAAATGTGAAGAAAGATACTCCATCCTTGAAAAAAAAAAGTTCATCCCTGGCCAAATCTTTTTTTCCCATTTCCTCAGATAGTTGGGGAAACCAGCACCCATGTTGCTACTCCCTGGCTTTGTACTGATCTCCCAGAGCAGGTAGCCAATCTTGGCTTTGTTTATCGGTGTAGAATTGGAGCAAGGAGCCCTGTGACATATTGGTATGTGGATCACGTGACAACGGAATGAGGAACAAAGACCAGGAGGCTCAGACTTCAGGCAAACAACCAATCCAGGAATGAGAGCTGCTAATATTTCTTGTTTGTTTATCTTTTTTATGCTAATTATCTCCTTCTTGTTCTCACATTTAGAAGCTGTTGACCTAGCTCAATTTTAGATACTGTCCACCAAATATATGCCTCCACTACAACTTGGGGGTTCATTAGATTAATTAATTAATAGTGGTTAATAAATGCTTTGAAATATTTTTATTAAAAGGGCCACCTAAGTCCAAAGTATTATTATAATCAGGTCTAATGAGGTCAGTGGTTTAAAGAGAGGGTTTTAAACCATATATAAACCTCCTCCAATGATCAGTGGTACAGAATGTAGATAAGAAGAGGCAGGTGAGTTTATGTGCTGGCGCTTAAAACCTCCCTCACACAGTGGCAGAGCCACACTGAAGTCTGCTTGGATTGAAGCCAGGTACTCATAGATCTACCAACTAATGGATTCTCAAATTGTTTAACCTGTCTTTTAGGACGAAGGCCACTGCTTTGTTAAAGCCTGGCGTGCAGGGTAGTGCTGAGGACGGGGAACCTTCCCATATTGAGAGGTGAGACTTCCTCTGCAAGTTCACAAACAAGGTAAGTGCTAGCCTTCTTGTGTCTTGTAGAGCACTTATGCTGTCTTTTGAATGAAACCAAGAATAGAGTTGATGGAGGAATGTAGGGAGCATAGCTACCCTATTCTGAGTCATGATCTCTAATGCTCCTCTCATGATTTCTTATGATTTTCTAAGGAGACTAGTACAAGAATGGGAACAAAATTATAATGTGAGTAAGTTTGGAAGTTTGGAGATGGAATGAGTGTGTGTGTGTGTGTGTGTAACATACATAAGATATCCATAGGGCCATGTCAATATGAAGTTGGATTAAAAAGAGTTGGGAGATTATAAGGCAAGAGAGTGATTCAATGAACCATAAAACCAAGCCTATGAGAATAATATCTTGGAACTGGCAAAAAGGTATTATATTAGAAATGACTCTAAACTTTTAAAATCAAAACAAATTTCCTTTAGGAAACTTTCAAGTTTTAAAATTAACGAGTTTCTCTTTCAAATCATAACAGGTGCTGTAGGATAAGATTCACCACCATGCTATCCTCTATCCTCTTTTGGGGACTTGTTGCTCTCATTGGTAAGCCATTGATTGACATTTGGTATTGTTTGCAGGCTGTCCACAAATATTTGTAGACAGTCATGAATCAGAAAAAGCAATGATTACATGTAATGGAGGGATAGGCTCTCTAATCAGACTGGCCATCAATCAACTGCTTATATCTATTATTAAGAGTGTATTCTACTTGCCAGGCAGGTGAAGGTGATATCAGTGAGAATTTATGGACAGTGCCTTGGGAGGCAAGACATATGAAGATAAAATTATCAATACCAGGCAGTAAATAAGAGTTAAATGAATATAGACAGAAAAGACACTAGTCTGAGAGGAGTTTAGGATGAAAAGTTCACATCTAGTCAGGATGTTGATACCAAAAGGCTTTCTGAAGGGATGTGATACTTGAAGAATGTTTTGTGTTTTGATAAGAGAAGAAAGGAGGCACTGGATGGGTAGAATGCCTTTAGTATAGAAAGGCAGAAATGCATGGCAAGTATTTGGGGTGCAATAAACAGGTCAATGTGATCAGAATAGAAGTAAGGATTTCTGAAGGGAAGGCTAAAAATGTAGGCTGGTGAAATGGTGAGGGACTTTGAATAAGAAAAAAATTGAAACTTTGGCTTAAGAAAAATGAAAAGACATTGTAAACAATGTTCAAGTTTTCTTTATGAATAGAGTGAAGATTGAGAAGAAAGTATTTCTAAAATGTTTAATTCTAAATTTGAAAAAGTGAGGCAACAGAAAAATGACAATTTCCAAATATGCATATGGTCAAAGGTAGGGGAACATAGTTTAGAATTTTTATTCCTTCTTTAATTCCCAGGTGACAGCAGAGTTATATAGCCAGTAGCCTAATTACAAGCTACTATACTAGCTATGTTTAACTGAAAGGTGACTATAATTAAGAAAGAACTGTGTGTTTATGATGTCAACACAAGTAGTTTAAGTCCATGGTCACATTCTAATTCCCTTAAGTCAAACTTCGGTATAAATGAATCTGTTGGGAATCCTGGTTAAAGTGGAGATTCTTTGATCTCAAACCTAAAAACTGGCTCAATAGACCTAGTGTGAGGAGGCCACAGATATGCATTTTTCATAGGCATCCATACATCCATCCGTGCATTCATTCAGAAATATTTATTGAATGTCCACTTTATGTCAGGTATTGTTCTAGGTGCTGAGGAAGATATAGCAGAAAAAAAATGTTCCAGAGAGAGGAACAGGAAAAAAAAAAAAATAGGAATAAATAAAAGAAGAAAGGAAGGAAGAGATGTCAGATGGTGATAGGTAAATAAAATAATATATAAATAAATTAAATTAAATAACGCAAGGTAATGAAAGACAAGGAATGAGGCATTAGTATGTTGCATTTTTAATATAAGTAGGAAAAAAGTCTCTTTAATAAGGTAATTTTTAAAAGTTTGTTGTAGAATGTTTCTATAGATATAAAATGGGGAAGGGAATAGCATAATTAACTCCCACGTGCTCATAATTAACTCCCATCAACACTTTGCTATTCCTATTTTGTATATCCTCATCTCTGTATTTTTTGTTTGTATTTTTTTTTTTTTTTGGTGATGGGGAGGTTGAAATATTTTAAAGCAACCAAAACATCAAAATATTTCACCTGTAAATGTTTTAGAGTATGTGTCTATTATGTATAAGAGCCAGTTCTGTCACAAGAAGATGTTCTTGGGTCACCTTAAGCATTTCCTCCCCCAGACCAGGAATGAGCCTTTTTTCTGAGGAGCACTGGTTTCTTTGAGTGGGGAAATAGTATTTAGAGACCACAATATGGGTACCAGCGGTGCTCCATTGCTATGGGGCTGTTATTCCAGGTCTTTTCAGTGGAGAGAACTTAGAAAGTACATATTTTTTTAAAACAGAAAAATAGTTATACATTCATACTGATATTTCACATTTATACTTGTGAATATAAAGGATTTACTTAAAATCTTGTTTCCGAGTAACATTAACATGTTTACTTATTTACATATAATCATTTCAAAGTAACTATTATATTTACATATAATCATTTCAAAATAACTATTACCAACCCACAATGATCCTGTGAATATAGTTTAAGATTTTCTTATGATTCTTTATGTTCATAGGATGTATTCCACTAGTTGTATATACTTACACAGACTTGTTTTTAAGTCACTTGAAGTAAGCATTCTCTATGTGTTAATTAAAATTTCAATTTGATAATAAAGTTAGGTTTATTTGTCTTTCACTTTTTAGGATTTTTTTCTATTTGATTTAATTTTTTAAATCATGGAAACATTTACATGGCTCAAAAATAAAAACTATTAAAAAAGTACATTTACAGAAATCTAACCTCTATTCTTGTCCCCTTTACCACTTCTTACCTTCCCCCATAACTAACAATTTTATTAGTTTTTGGTTCATCTTTGTGTTGTTTCTTTTGAATATATAAGGAAATCACACACATACACACACACACAAAATCATATTTTTCCCTTTTTCAAACAAAGAGTACAATTCTATAAATACTATTCTGCACCTGGAGATAATGTTATAGAATGATATAGAGTTCTTCCTCTTTCCTCTTTTCAGTTGCATAGTAATCTGTTGTGTGGAGGTGGCTTGGCTTATTCAGTCCCTACATTAATGACACTTGCATTGTTCACAGACCTTTGCTGTTATAAAGTGCTGAAACAACAGCCTATTGCAAAATCCCCTTCCACAGCAATGTATAAGATTGCGTATTGCCCCATAGCCTCGTTGTCAGAGTACATTGTCAAACTTTTAGATTAAATTGGTAAAGAAATGTAGTGTTTCAGTGATGTTTTAATATGGCATTCTCTCTTGAGTGTGGTTGAGTGCCTTTTTATACATATAAGGATTTTATCTTTTTTTGTTTATTCTTATCTTTTGCTGATAAGGTGTTATTTGAACAGAGTCCTAAAGGGCAGCAAAGCAGCAAATCATGTAGATACCTAGAAAATAGCATTCTAGGCTAAATATTTTGCAACATTTTCTGTAAACATAAAGGCCTTGAGGCAGGACCCTGCCTGCAAGTTGAAGGATAATCAGGGAGAAGAATGTAATTGGAGAAGAGTGCGGGAAGGGAAGGAGAAGTTGAAAAGTGAGCAGAGGCAAGATCAGGTAGGGCGTGGAGGCCACAACTGAATGATTGGAAAGCCATCGGAAGGTTAAGAGAGAAGACCAATAGGATCCCAGGCATGTTTCCATAGACTACTCTGACTGCTGGGGATTAGGCTGCAAGAGTGGAAGAGGGAGGTCAGTTAGGAGGCTATTACAATAATTAAGATGAGCAATGGGGTGGTTTGGACCCTGGTGGTGGTAGCAGAGGCAGTGAGAAGTGGTCAGATTCTGGATATATGTTGTCAGTTTGCACCCTCTCTCACGGCTTCCATGCCTCTATCTTACATATGATCTATGTCATGGAAATCTATTCATTCATTCGTGTATATTTCCTACACATATTGCAGGCACAAGGTATACTGAGGGCCATGGGAGTGCCAGTGTGATGGTTCCTGCTGTTTGCAGGAACACATCCACTCTGCTTTGAGAAGCTTAATGGCTTTGCTTGTTTCTGCTGCTTTTACTATCTAAATAGGCTTTCTTAGTATTCTGAGTTTACTTGATAGTTTCACTGTCTGACTTCCTCGTGCATTTGCAAAACTCTTTTTTTTTTTTTGCCTGTTTCTTGATGGGAGAGAGTAGATTGTGCCTGTATTTTTATTTGTTTTGATGAGTTTTGCTTTTTATTTTATTTTTTAATTTTTAAAAAAATTGTTATTTGAGAGAGAGAGAGAGAGACAGAGCATGAGCAGAGCAGAGGCAGAGAGAGAGGGAGACACAGAATCTGAAGCAGACTCCAGGCTCTGAGTTGTCATGGAGCCCAATGCAGGGGCTCAAACTCACTAACCTGGAGATCACATGACCTGAGCTGAAGTCGGATGCTCAACACACTGAGCCACCCAGGAGCCCTAAGTTTTGCTTTTTTAAAAAGTTAATCTTTAGAGTTGCTTTGTTTTCCTTTTAAAATAAATATTTATAAGAAAGAGTTCCTTTGTGTCCCTAATTCTAAGAGAGTCTCTTCATACTGTGAACTTAGTCAGAACTAGACCTATGGTGAATGGTCCTATTTAAAAACACCATATACAGGGGCGCCTGGGTGGCTTAGTCGGTTAAGCGTCCACTTTCGCTTAGGTCATGATCTCGCGGTTCGTGGGTTCGAGCCCCGTGTCAGGCTCTGTGCTGACTGCCAGCTCAGAGCCTGGAGCCTATTTCAGAGTCTGTGTCTCCCTCTCTCTCTGACCCTCCCCTGCTCATGCTGTCTCTCTCTCTCTCCTAGAAATAAATAAAAATATTTTTAAAAAAATTTAAAAAAAATAAAAACACCATATACAACACTAAATGAAACAACATAGTTGGTTTTTTTAAATTAATTTATTTATTTTTGAGAGAGCGAGAGACAGGGAAGGAGCTAGAGCAAGCAGGTGAAGGGCACAGAGAGAGAGGGAGAGAGAGAGGAGAGAGAATTCCCAAGAAGGCTCTGAGGTGTCAGGAGAGAGCCTCACGTCGGGCTTGAACTCACAAACTGTGAGATCATGACCTGAACTGAAATAAGGAGTTGAACGCTTAACTGATTGAGCCACCCAGTTGCCCCAACATAGTTTTTTAACATCAAGGGTTTTAACAAACATAATTTCTTATAACAAATATATGTAGTCTTAAGATATAAGTCAACAATCCTAGGAACTATTAGAACAAGCTTTTCAACTTACAGAAAAGCTCTTTATCTCTTTTAGCAAATAGACTTGAACAGAAAGTCACTTCATAATGACAAAATAAAAAATAAGAATGAATTTAACTTAAAGTTTTATGGTAAGTTAAATTTTATTTCCAATTTTACTAATTATACTTAGAAACTCAACTTTACAGAAACAGATATAAAATGGATATTTTAAGTTAAAGGCACCCTTCCTTTCTATCTTATATGGTATTTTTACCCTTCTTTCTTGTATTCTTAAACAAAGGCAATTGTTAATACAGATGCTTACATCCCAGAAGTATTTGTGTCAGAAGTGTATTAAATTTCTCTCAAAGTTCCTGCTTAAAACTCTAGCGGCAATTTTATTTATTTATTTAAAAATTTTTTAATGTTCATTTATTTTTGAGAGAGAGAGAGAGTGTGAGTGAGGGAGGGGCAGAGAGAGAGGGAGACACAGAAGTCAAAGCAGGCTCCAGGCTCTGAGCTGTCAGTGCAGAGCCCAAAGTGGGGGCTCAAACTCACAAACTGTAAGATCATGACCTGAGCTGAAGTTGGATACTTAACCAACTAAGCCACCCAGACACCCCTCTAGTCGCTATTTCAATTCTGATCAAGATTATAGCAAATGTTTTTGAGGCCTACAAAAATTTGATTTTCATAATACTTTCTACAATATTTAGGATTAAGTGCTTTATTAAAATTTTTGTGGGAGACACCTGGCTGGCTCAGTCGCTAGAGCATGCAACTCTTGATCTCCGGATCATGTTGGGTGTGAAGACTACTTTAAAAAAATTTTTTTAAGGTTGAAGTAAAGTGGGAAGGAGAAATCTTCTATTCTCTTTTGTCTAATGAGCCATCCTAAGGGTCTTGGGAGGGACTTGGGGAGGAGTAAATCTATGGCTTCGCCTTTGGTTTAGTAATGCACATTATAGCAACTAGAGTCATATTTCTCACAGGCTTCATGTGAATTATTCTGTTCCACAGGCACTTCTAGGGGCTCATACCCTTTCACTCAATCAATGAGCCCTCACCTGCATCCCCGCCTGTACCATGGCTGCTATGGTGACATCATGACCATGGAGACCTCTGGTGCTTCTTGTGATATAACCAGGCTGATTAACTGTGGTGAGTGAAAAAGCAAAGCAAACATTTGGCTTCCCCCTAATTATCATTTTCAGATTCACTTTTAGGAAGTAGCTTAATTTTAAAAAGGTATAATCACTGTTACAGCAATAATATCAAATTAAAAATTAGAAGAAAGCAGAATCCTGACCAGCCTAACAAACTGTTTCTTTTCATTTTCCCACTATTCTTTCCAAACCTTATCCAAATGAGTTTATTTCTATGTATTGAAATGATTGCTTACATAAAATATTAAATTCTGGCTTTGTTTTTTGGTTTGTTGTTGGTTTTACACTTCATGTTACAGCATGAGCATTTTAAGCAAGTCTCTCGCTCTTTGTACATCTTCTGAGAATCTTGTTCCAAAGTCTTCTTCATGTTATCCCAGTATTAGAAAGTCAGCACTGGAAGCAACAATAAGATCAATCTAATCCTACCTCCCCAATTTATAGATCTGAAAACTGAGGCTCAGCAAGAAGAGACTTCCCAAGGGTCTGGAACTAGGTAGTGGGAGAACCAGACTCAAATTTAGGTTGGCTGAGTCCTAGTTCAAGAGACTTCCCAATGCACCAATGTGGCAGGTAGCAGAAGATCAAGAAAGAGAGCAGAAGTGGTATCTGCTTGGGGTTGTGGACCTTTCAAGGTTTATGCAATTAGAGATTGGAAAATGTCCTAGCACAGTCGCAAGATGTGGTCAGGCGCTGTGACTAACTTACTACACTTTGAAAGAGGGTTTTCTTCTGGAGTAACAGTTTATTTTCTATTGACTTAGGGATCCGTGGTTCTGAAATGTTTGCTGAGATGGATTTGAGGGCCTTAAAGCCTTACCAGGTTCTGATCAAAGAAGTTGGGCTGAGGCATTGTGTGGACCCTGCTCTCATTGCAGCCATCATCTCCAGAGAAAGCCATGGTGGAGCCGTCCTGCAAGACGGCTGGGACCACACAGGACTTAGATTTGGCTTGATGCAGGTACTTGGCAAGGAACTTTCAGTCAGTCCCACTTCATCCTTCTTTATGGAGGCGCAACCCAAACTGGATATTTATTTGCAGTACTTCCAGGCTTCAAAACACCTTGGTACTTCAGCATTATTTTTACTTCGGTATTTCTCTAACATGTCTTTGGTTATTTCATTCAAGATTTATCAGTTATTGGTTGTCTCCAGTAAAAGTATTTAATGAGTTTTAAAATTACAATTTGTAATTAATAACATAAAATACACTTAATTGAGAAAATCTTATAAAGGACATTATTAAAAGTGTCCATTGGGGTTCATAAAGTAGTAAATTTCATCCATGTAGATCAAAACACTATAATTAAGTTCTATTTGAACCAACTTGTTTTTTTTTTTTTTTAAAGCAAATTGGTGGAAGGCAATCCAAACTATCTGAATGTTTGTTTCCAGTCTGTATTTTTTTTTAAATATAGTTTATTGTCAAGTTGGTTTCCATATAACACTCAGGTCTCATCCCAACAAGTGCCCTCCTCAATGCCCATCACCCAATCTCTCTCTCCCCCACCCCCATCAACCCTTAGTTTGTTCTCAGTGTTTAAGAGTCTCTTATGGTTTGACTCCCTCCCTTTCTGTAACTGTTTATTACCCCTTCCCCTCCCCCATGGTCCTCTGTTAAGTTTCTCCTGAGATACATATGAGTGAAAACATATGGTATCTGTCTTTCTCTGAATGGCTTATTTCACTTGGCATAATACCCTTGAGTTCCAACCACATTGCTACAAGTGGCCAGATTTCATTCTTTCTCATTGCCATGTAGTATTCCATTGTATATATTAACCACATCCTCTTGATCCATTCGTCAGTTGATGGACATTTAGGCTGTTTCCATGAATTGGCTATTGTTGAAAGTGCTGCTATGAACATTGGGGTACATGTGCCCCTACGCATCAGCATTCCTATATCCCTTGGGTAAATTCCTAGCAGTGCTATTGCTGGGTCATAGGGGAGTTCTATTGTTAATTTTTTGAGGAACCTCCGCACTGTTTTCCAGAGGGGCTGCACCAGTTTGCATTCCCACCAACAGTGCAAGAGGGTGCCTGTTTCTCCACATCCTTGCCAACACTTCTTATTTCTTGTATTTTTTATTTTAGTCATTCTGACAGGTGTGAGGTGATATCTCATTGTAGTTTGATTTTAGCCACTCTGACTGGTGTGAGGTTTGTATTTCTTCCAGTCTCTAATTTTCTGTAGAAACCCAGACTTTTAGCTGTCCCAGTTAGAAACAAATTTTTATTTTTGACTGCAAATATCTAGACATTGAGTGCTAATTACTTGTTTTGAAACAACTTTTTCATATATTTATTTCTATTTGAGAGCTCAATTAACATTATGCCACATTAACATCTCCTAAATCATACTTTGTTTCTCTGACTCTCTTTTCTGTGAGAGAAAGGACTATAGAATTGATCCTGTGGAGATAAATTAAGGGGGTTGAGACCACTGTCTGTGTACTTGAACACAGGAAGAAAAATCAGGAATAGCAGAAAAATGTGTTGCTTCATCTAGATGCTGACGTTATTATCTGATTTTCCTAGCTTGATAAAAAAATTCATCACCCTGTTGGTACCTGGGACAGCAAAGAACACCTATTGCAGGCTGTTGGGATTCTAACCGACAAAATTAAGGCAATCCAGAAAAAATTCCCCACATGGAGTGTGGCTCAGCATCTCAAAGGTAGGCCATATAATGTGTAGCTTTGTTAAAAAGAGCAGTGAGTGATACCCCTGAAGACCAGATGTGCCCTAGGCGTCCCTGGGAGTATTCCCATGGGGTCGACAGTGGGCATGGGAGGAGCTGCCAGAATACTGCACTAGTTTTCTCTGAACCACTGAGTTACTTTGAGTGGACTTCCTTCCCAACTTCCATTTCCCCTTCTGCCAGGTGTTGGCATTCTCATTACCTCTCTCATTGGTTACTGGGCCACTGAGTGATGCCTTGAGAATTAACGCCATAGTTTAAAAGAATATGTTTACATTCCCCTGATAGTTTTTTTTCTTGATGAAAGAAACTATTAACCTCTTTATGAATTGTTCAAATAAACTTTTACTCTGTGAGCATTCTCAGTGACATCAGGGCTTTAGGTACCATGACATGTCCAAGTGGAGATTTCTGCTTGGCTGATCACAGATCTCAAGTTCAGCATCTTCCAGACTGAATTAAGTCACTAGCTTCTCACCATAAACTTGCTCTTTCTTCTGCATTTTCTGTCTCTGAAAAAGGTGTCAAAATATGTCTAGTCATCCCAGTCAGAAAAACAGATTGTTTTCTTAGGTTCTCTGGTTCTTTCTGTCTTCACACCCAACCACACCAAGTCCTATTAAGTCTATCTCCTATAAATTTATGGTATGCATATACGTCTCTCCTCCCACACTTTAACATCCTCACTTTACTTTTTAAATTTTTTTTTCTGAGGGAGAGAGACTGCGTGAGAAGGGGAGGGTCAGAGAGAAAGGGAGACACAGAATCCAAAACAGGATCCAGGCTCTGAGCTAGCTGTCAGCACAGAACCTGATGAGGGGCTCAAACCCATAAACCATAAGATTATGACCTGAGCCGAAGTCGGCTGCCCAACTGACTGAGCCACCCAGGTGCCCCCATCCTCACTTTAGAATAAACAATTTGTTTTTTCTATTTCAAGGTCCTTGAAGTCAGGGATCAGGACTAGGGAGCTTTTTCTCTATACATCAGAGCAGAGCACAATTATGTTAAACACATAAGGAACTTTTGAAGATCAAAATTCTTGGGTAAAATACACCTAAATATACACATATCCCTACAGAGAAATGATTACATCTTGGGTACCGTTGTGCACCCTGAACGCAGTGTGGCACCCATCCTGGTACACAGCAGGTGCTTAAAAACATTTATTGAATGTCTAAAAAAGTGAGTGAATAAGTAATTTTTTTAAATGAGTAAGTTATTTAATGATTGAGAGAATGTTATAAGCATTCTCAGACTGATTTTCTGGGATCTCCTTTTGCCAGGCCTGGACTGTATAAGAAGCAAATATGACTTTTGTAGCAAGAAATACAAAAGCCTTCAAAAGGAGAGAGAAGGAAAGCAATCTGGAATTCTCCCAGAGATTCTTGGGGTAGTTGATTCTTTGGGGAAGGAAGGAAAGGGGAAGGAGGGTCTGGGACTGTGTGCTTTGAAAGATTTGCCTAGGGGGGCTTACATCCTGGGAATGCTCAAAGCTGATTTCCACTGAAAGTTTTAATGTTTCAATATGAATCTCTGTTTCATTTCAGGTGGTCTCTCGGCTTTTAAGTCAGGAATAGATGCTGTTGCAACTCCAGTGGACATAGACAATGACTTGGTCAATGATCTTCTCGCCCGAGCTAAATTCTATAAAAGACATGGCTTCTAGGCAAAGCTCTATGGGTGGGCTGGGCTGGCAGATGGTCAGGTGGCCCTTCTTTGAGAGTTTGATATAGATGCATTATACTCAACACTGGCAAAGAAATAGCTGCAATTATGACAGAAAATTCATTTCTCAGTTTCCTTAATGCAAATAAGCATTAAAAAAAGGAAACCCACCCAGTTTATAGTATGGTTCCCATGAAATGCACATAGACCTATGCATAATTATTTTGTTGTAGGTGTGAATATCATGGTAACTGACACATATTCCAGTGAGGCCTTATTTTATCCCATGATTTCAATGGGATAAACTGACCCCTTGTTTTACTGAAATTGCTAACAAGAGAGCCTGACCTGAGCTTTTGCCTTTTTCCAAGCATCTATCTGAGCCACTAGGGCTTTGATTGTGAGATATGCCTACTCATAAGCCAGTTAGCCTGTGGGACAATGGAGAAGCTAGAGATGGAATTCTGGCTTCACAAGTAACTGAGAGCTGACTGTGGTAAAGCTGATCTTCTGAAAGTGATATACACCACATCCCTGGCTCACATCAAGCTTCTGTGTCTTCTTCCTCTTGTTTGCTGAAGATCCAGGGACTGGCTTCTATTTTCAGTAACTGCTGCCACACACTTGTTGAAGAAGTCTACTTCCCACAAAACATGGCTGAAGATAAGCGTATAGGACCTGACTGAGTTATGGTTCTTTAGTTGTAAGCAAAAGTAACCAATTTTGGAAAATTTAAGGAATAAGTGGCCATTATGAGAAGGCCATCAAAAGGCTCCCAGAAACAACAAAGTCAAGGACATGAAGAGAAACCAGGCAACTCTGGGCAGGAGGAACTGGTTGACCTTAGTTGATAGCATTCCCATTGCATGACTGAATTAGCACTCTCCCTACATAAATAGACTCTGGAGGCTTTCTCTCCCATCCTTTCATCATTTTGTTTCACTTTCATGGTCCCAGGAGAGAGACTCTGATGGGCTTATCTTGGGACATCTACATACCTATGCCTTGGCTACTTTGCTCTTTGGTCTTGCCCAGACAACCCAATTGATGGAAAAGAGACAGTTCTCTAGAACAAAACTTGGTGCAGTTTGTGGCTTTCTTTCCACACTCAGGAGAGGACACAAATAAAACATAAAGCCCTGTTGGAGTCTCAAAGTCCCTGACAACATGGCTCCTGTTTGGCCATTATCTTCTTTTGGGAATATTTGATAAAAGGTTTTACTCATTACTTCTCTTTCTGAGGAGGAATAAAAATTAAACCCATCTACCTCTGAGTTCCTCTGGAGAAAGCCAAGTAAACTATTCTCTGCTCAACAACCTCTCAACTCAGTCTAAAGATTTGACCAAGGCAGAACTGGGACTCTGTTTCACAGAGAAGAGACAATGGTCAGCTAGCATGGCAGCCCTGCAGCATACAGTCCAATATCTTTTATGAGTGGTGGAGGACCATACTGTACCAGTTGTTAAATATTTTGATTATCATCCCTATATGTGGGCAATCCAGAATGTTCTTTAGATGTTCCCTTTACTCAAAAATGATTTCTTCTGGGCTTTCCCCCCACAAGCATGTATGCCACCTAATTGCCAGCCCCGTCAATGTTACTACTAAGAAATAAAGTACATCTAGGTGAGATAATTTCCAAGTAATTTGAAAAATAAGAAACAGTATGCTGACTTAGATTCTGAATTGATTCCCCCAGTATTCTCTTTATGACTGGGACACCAAGGGATGTTCTATAGGAGAGTCCATATTTAAGGTGTCTTAGTTGGGTTCCCACCTGAGATGAAGGATTCAAGTCCAGCTAGCTTATCTGAGAGGTACAGGGAGTACTGGTATGAAGTGGCTTGGTGATACAAGGAAGGGAAAAAAGCCAGTAAAATCTGTGTCATCAAGCCAGTTACCATGGTGGGCACTGGGACTCAATCTTCCAAGCACACCTCAAGGACTGTACAACACATAGCTCAGAATTATTCTACTCAAAGAACAAGGAGCTGAGGTGTTTATACATCAATCTTTGAGAGCCATTGATTGAGGGATTTTTCTGTTGGGGGCCAGTGGAGGGCATGTTAATTCTTTGCTCCTCTGGTCTGCCATGCAAGTAAGCAGCACACTTTTTTGCAGTTCCAAGAAAAAGAGATTGCAGGCATAGAGATGCAGATACTGGCAGATGGAAATCATCTGAGAATCCTGAAGTGTCTAGGGTTATGGGAAGGGCACTGGAGGCATCTGTTTCACAAAGGTTAGAAATATGTGGAGGTTAAAAAAAATCCCTCCAACACTGTTTCCCTCCATGAACTAACAACATAGTAAGAACAATGTAAAATAAATATAAGGCTCATTATGCCTCATGATTTCCATGCCAAACTTTTCCATAATCAATTAGAATTAAGTAATTAGATATAATAAGCTGTCCCAGTCTACTTTTTCTTGTTTATACTGAGAACAATCTTAGAGATGTTAGACTCAAATGTGGCTCCATTAAGTATTCTTTCAGTCATCCTCAATTTTCTTTATATCTTTTGCCTGTATCTTCTTCAGAGATAATGAATGGCTCTATTTTTACATCCTAGTGTATACAGTGTCATTTCTTTTTGTTGTCTAAGAATTAAGCTCTCTCTGAAAATGAAGAAGATGGTCTTCAGTTTTCAAAGCATAAAAAAAATATATCTAAAACCATTTCCCTGTGGAGAATAAGCTTAGGAATCCTCCGGGCTTATACCAATGGGTTAACAAGGCATAGAGAAATAAAGCCATAGTATGTTCACACCCGAGTTTGGGTAATGGGCGCCCTGAAAATAGGATGGTGCAGAGGCACCCCAAGAATAGTGGGGTGTGGAACCCCAAAGATAGAGAGGGACGGGCAAAGACCCAAGATAGGAATGGGCACAAAGGCTCCCAACACAAAGGTATATGAGATAAACAAGCTTAGGCATGCATGGCAAAAGTGCCCCCCAATTTAGTACTATAGCAGAGAAACTGCTTTCACAGGAGAATAGGGCCAGGTTAGGCAAAACAAGGAAATTGACCTACAGACCTGTGAGCTGCCGGTGAAACGGCCCAGAAGGGAGATGGTTAACAAAAGAAAAGGTATCTTGTTAACCCTGAAGTTATTTTCCCTGTCTGTTCACCTAAGCTAGCTAAGATAAACAGACGCGGTGCCTCCTCTCTGCTGTTAACAACCATCTGCCCATCTGCCCGGCGCCTCGATTTTGTTTCATATTGACCCAAACCCCAAACACTGGGTATTTTCAGAAACCCCCTTTCCTCATGCCCCTAAGTTGATGTTCAGTTTCTTTGTCTCTTTGTACATGTCCATCACATCTGTAAGTCTTCTGATCTTAATAAATATGGGGCAAGTACCCTTATTCCGGGCTCTTGTCTTTTCCCTGACATTAGCCATCTCTCTTATTTTTTAATCCCGTGTCCTGCTCTCTTGCTAAGACAAGAGAGAACTTTAGGCCCAGAGTCTACAACATTTCCTTAGCTGGACTTGTTCATGGTTATATTCTCATCCTGTCTCTTTCTTGGCAATCAATACTTCACAGGACTTTTTTTTTTTCTTTTATAGTTTATTGTCAAGTTGGTTTCTATATAACACCCAGTGTTCATCCCAACAAATGTCCTCCTCAATGCCCATCATCCATTTTCCCCTCTCCCCCACCCCCATCAACCCTCAGTTTGTTCTCAGTGTTTAAGAGTCTCTTATGGTTTGACTCCCTCCCTTTCTGTAACTGTTTTTTACCCCTTCCCCTCACCCATGGTCTTCTATTAAGTTTCTCCTGACACATATGAGTGAAAACATATGGTATCTGTCTTTCTCCGAATGGCTTATTTCACTTGGCATAATACCCTTGAGTTCCATCCACATTGCTACAAGTGGCCAGATTTCATTCTTTCTCATTGCCGTGTAGTATTCCATTGTATATACTAACCACATCCTCTTGATCCATTCGTCAGTTGATGGACACTTAGACTGTTTCCGCGATTTAGCTATTGTTGAGAGTGCTGCTACGAACATTAGGGTACATGTGCCCCTATGCATCAGCACTCCTGTATCCCTTGGGTAAATTCCTAGCAGTGCTATTGCTGGGTCATAGGGGAGTTCTATTGTTAATTTTTTGAGGAACATCCACACTGTTTTCCAGAGGGGCTGCACCAGTTTGCATTCCCACCAACAGTGTAGGAGGGTGCCCATTTCTCCACATCCTTGCCAGCATCTATAGGCTCCTGATTTGTTCATTTTAGCCACTCCGACCAGCGAATACCTCACAGGACTTTAAGCGTCAGTGCTGAGAATAATATTAGAGGTCACAGATATGGAAACATTTCCTTCCCTTACCTCCTCTGCATAATGCTAAAAGAACATGGATGACAAATGGCCCTAATAAGAAGACCAGCCTTGGGGGTATTGTTAAGACTGAAGAAAAAAGTATTTGAGAAATTACTAAACAATCATTGGTGGTGTCCTGGTGGCAGCATCACCAGACTGAGGGGTTTTGCAAGCCAGGAGGTCATGAGGACACAGAATTCTTGAGAGAGGAAGAAGCTCTGAAAGTTAGAAGACTCTAAAAGTGACTGACTGAAATACCCCTCTGTGCCAGCCTTACTGGGTTTAGCCTGTGAAGCAGCCCTTAGTTTGTCTGCCTGGAGTGGAATTTTTTTTTTTTTTTTTTTGACTGGTAGGTTTTCTGCCTAGAGTAGAATTATCTATCAGTTACTTCTTTTTACTTGCCATCTTGATGTTTATTTGTATTGAATTTAAAATCCTCTCTTTAAAAATTCTGTTTTAAATTGTGAAATAATACACATAGAGGAGAGTACATGTAATAACAAAGGTGTTTAGCAAAATAAACTATTAACAGTGTCAAAAAAGGCTAACCACAGAACAGGAGAAGACATTTCAACTAATAAGTAAATATTTTATTGTAACTTAATACATCAATATATTCTCTTTTTAGGGAGAGCCCAAAGTGATATTTTAATTGGTTTTTATAAAGTATTTTCATGTAGTTTCATTAATATTTTACTCCAAGTCTCATGAAGATAAAATACCCTACTGGATATTCATAGAATACTAAAGGGCATTGTTAAATTATGCATTTATTGTAATGCTTAATTTTTTTCCTTGATTTTTTTAAAATTGTGGTAAAATATATAACATATTATTTACCACTGTAACTATTTTAAGCATACAGTTCAGTGGTATTAAATCCATTCATAATGTTGTGCAATCATCACCACCATCCATTTCCACAACTCATTTCATCTGATAAAATCTATACTCATTAAACAATAACTTCCCTTTTCTCCCTCCCCTCCTTAGCCACTGGCAACTACCATTCTGACTTTTGTCTTCATGATTTTGACTATTCTTTTTTTTTTTTTTTAAATGTGTATTTACTTTGAGAGAGAGAGAGAGAATGAGCGGGGAGGAATAGAGACACACACAGAATCTGAAGCAGGCTCTAGGCTCTGAGCTGTCAGCACAGAGTCCCACATGGGGCTGGAACTCAGGAACTATAAGATCATGACCTGAGCTGAAGTCGGAAGCTTAACCAACTGAGCCACCCAACTGCTCCTGATTTTCACTATTCTAAATACCTTACATAAATATTATCTCATTCTTTTTTAAAGTTTATCTATTTATTTTGAGAGAAAGAGCACACATGAGTGAGGCAGGGGCAGAGGGAGAGGGAGACAGAGAATCCCAAGCAGGCTCCCCTCAGCACAGAGCCCAGTGCAGTGCTTGATTCCTGACCATGGGACCATGAGCTGATATCAGAGTCCAACACTTCACTGTTGGAGCCATCCAGGCACCCCTACCTTATTATTAATGTTTCTCATGCCCCATTTAAGAAATATTTTCCATCATCAGATTATGAAGGCATTCTCCTATATTACTTCTAAATTCCTTACTGTTTTATATTTCACATCTGGTTTTGTGAAGCACTGGATTTTTGGTGTGTTGTGATTTAGAGATCCAATTTAAATGTCTTCCATGTGGATACCTAAAATTGTCTTAAAGACATTTATTGAAAAGATCCTCTTTGTCTCACTGCCCTGCACTACCACCTCTGTTTCTAATCTCTCCCTTCTGCTCATCAGTTTACTTATTTCTAACAAGATGAAACTATTTGAGTT